GTCAACAGCAGGTGGGCGTAGAAAGCAGGGAGTCCTGTCTTTAGTTGCAGGATCTGGGAAAGAGATACCATGAACTGACCAGCAACATAAAACAGTAGCTGGGCTCAAAACTGGAGGCTATCATGAAGGCAAACAGAAAACTCTATTCTCCAGAGAATCAATGGATGGACATTATGCACAAAGTACCTCTACAAACAGACCTGCATGACCTTTGAATCCCTCCCTGAAAATCTCCCCTCAAGTTGCCCTTTGCATCATGTGTTCATTAAGCTTTGATCACAGGGCTACATCAGCTTATTGTTTACTAAAGCAAATATGTTGCACTGTGCACACAGTTTGTGAACACTCACTAATGATGAGTAAACACGTTTGGCCCATGCTCACTGAGCTGTGGCCGTTACTAGTTCTGCTTGACTGCAAAGCCATGGCTGGGGGTGACAACACACAGGCTGCATACACTTTAGAAGTCATGGTGAATATATTTCAGGATGGGGGCATGGCTGAGAAGTCTGAAAAAAAAAATGTTTTACAGATGTACTGAAGGATACATGCTGGATAAAGACACTTTGGGAGTGAAAACCACGAACAGAAAATTGATAGCTGCTTTCAATATCACTTCAACCAAGGTCATGCTCACTTTACATAGAGGTTGGGGGAAGTAACAAACCACATCTACTGACAACTGGCATTTTATTGGATTGGAAAATTGGAAAATCTTTATTGTCTCCGAGGGGCAATTTGGTTTGCAACAGAGTTGCATACAGGCAATTTACATAAAAAAAAAAAAAACGTATGAAACATAACTCCCCTGGGAATCATCATGATGGACATGAGTGAGACAAAGAGGCAACAATGCCTACAGCTTTGTTAGAAACCCAACTGCTGACAGGACAAAGGACTTTAGATATCTGTTTGATTTGGCCCTCCTAAGAGAACCTTCTCCTTGTCGGCAGAAGTCTAAACCCTGAATGCAGAGGGTGGTGAGGGTCTTCTAAGGCCTTTGCCTTCTCAATGGCTCTTATTAAAAAATCATGGCCAAGATCATTCAAGTCAACACCAACAATCTTTCAGCAAAGTTAAACTATATTTCTAAGCCTTTTGTTGTTAACGATTTTGGGGTTACCAAGCCAACAGACCATCAGACCAATCATAAAGATTATTAAAATATATATAAAAGACAAATGTCGACATTAAAACTCCTCAGCTTTCTCAAGAAGAACAGTCTTTGATTGGCCTTTTTGCAGATGGCTTCAGTGTTAACATTGAAGGTCAGTTTTTCATCAAAGATGGTAGCCAAGTATTTATACTGACCCACTGTCTACAGCTATAACGTTAATAAAAGTCGGTGCTGTGACAGGGGGATTTTTACTAAAGTCGTTTAGAATTTTTTGTTTCAGAGACATTGAGATGCAAGTTTTATGAAATTATATAAAACGGGACCATGACCCACCTCATGTTCCCACAGGAGGATCACAGAATCACAGGCAAATTTAACTTGAAACCTGAACTCAGACTTACTCTGACAGTCATTTGTGCAAGGGTTGAATAACTATGGTGACAAAACACATCCCCTGTGGTGAACCTGTTGAACACATAAAAGCTTCAGAGAAAATGTCATTAACACATGTTCTTTGTTACCTCATTGTTAGGAAGGCGACCAGCCAACATAAAGTGCCAAAGTCAAAGTCAGGTATGACTAAAAGCCTACAAGCAAGAATATTGGGCTGCATGGAATTAAAAGCTAACAAGAAATGAACAAAGGACAAACCTGCATGCGTTTTCAAGCCCTCTAGGTGCCCAACAACAAGATCCAACAATGGCATTGATGCAGTGGCATCATCTACCCCCTACCTTGCTTGATTAGCGAATTGGGTGGGTCATGACTCAGGAGATGAGTGCCACAGAGTAATAATCATTCAACACTTTGTGGTTTGGAACCTTGGCTACTGGTACCACAGTGTTTTACTTGTGTAGATGTGCAGAAATGATAAAAGAGAAGGCAAGGAATTCACTTATCTGCTGCTGAACATATTACTTTGTGCTCAAAGATCCTGTACAATCTGCTACATGCTGAAATGTTGACATGAAAATGTCGTTGACCATTGTCATCTATGTTTAGCTTGTTATGACACAAACACTGTAAATTTGTGCAAAACAAGAAGTACAGCTAATTCCCATGGGTATGGCAATGGTTTTGCTGGTTTTGGTTATCCTGATATCCATTTTTTCAGGTTCAGGGTCTCGGGGGGGCTAGAGCCAATCCCATTCGTCAGGCGGGGTACACTTTGAACTGGTGGGTGGTCAATCACACGGCAAGATATTTGGTTATGAATTGGTTGTGAAAATGAAAAATACAATAATAAAGCAGATGATGGTGCTTAGTAATGCTTAGTAAAATGCTTAGTAGTCGTTTAAGCATTAATTGAGTGGTTGAGAACCTGCCAACTACTTCCAGGTACCAAGAGCAGCCACCTTTTCGGACAACTGCTGACTGTTGCATGGACCTTTCTGAAAAATTAGTTGTGCACAATTTTCTATTTTTTCATGACTCCTCTTAGGAGAGGAGCAGCACAGCAGCTGTGGAGCAGCAAATATAAGTAGGACAAAGAGTGTATTTGAGAAATAAATATTTTACTCTCTTGATGTGTGATATAAAAAAGGTACAAGACATGACTGGCAGTACAAAAAAAAGTCCTGCAATTAGCATAAACAACTTAACACACCCCTTTGTAACACCTAAATCAATAAAACGTAACCCCCTTATTCTGACACCTTCTAGTTATTAATGCATGCATTCACATACTCATGCACGACACACACACACACACACACACACACACACACACACACACACACACAGTCAAGAACCATCAGGGAACGATTACTCATCACCAGTTAATGTATATGTTTGGTATCAGTATGCAGAGAGCCTTGTAAGCTGCAATCATTACACTGGGATCGCACAATAATCACCCAGAAATTCCCTGTGGCTGTGTGTGTGTGTGTGTGTGTGTGTGTGTGTGTGTGTGTGTGTGTGTGTGTGTGTGTGTGTGTGTGTGTGTTTGTGAGAGAGAGAGAGAGCCACAGACAGAGACATAGACAGAGACAGAGAGTACGAAAGAGAACGTGTGTGTAAGGGTTTGCACCTGTGATACATTATACGTGGCTGTGTGTAGGAGAGTGTGTACATATCAATGTGTGTGTGTGTGGTTTTGCAGTGAGTGGAAGTGCTGTGCGCATCTATATTAGGACCCCTATCATTATTCTGTTGCTGTTCCCCTTCCTTGTTCTATTCTTCTTCTATTCTCTCTCTTCCTTTCTATGTCTACAGCTAGATTCATAGCTACAGTATAAAACACACACGCACACGCGCACACACACACACACACACACACTCCCACTTTGGTCACTTTCTCCTCCCCCCTCCTCTCGACACCTTCATCTTCTTCTGTGGCGCTGCAGAGTAAACAACTGACTGCTGTCACAGCATGACAGTCCTGCCAGTCCTGCCATACACACATGCTAACACACTTAACAGGACATTACAGCGCACTATCTGCTGACTCCCTGAACACATAAACACACATTGCTGAGGACTGCGTTACCCTTTACCGTTGAACACACGCACACGCCCATGCACACGCCGATCTGACGCCACAGTAAACATCTATGTGCTGACTGCCGCAGCATGCAGCCCTGGGCGAGCCGGCTCCAAACACGCACAGAGATGGACGGATAGACAGCGTTGCAGACGCACGCGGAGCTGTCATCTCCACATCAGCACACAACGCAACAGAGGGAGAGGCTGGAGCAAAGGAATCGACATGGAGCGATAAAAATAGAAAGATGTCGACTGATACTCCCTCAAACAATTCATTCTTACGTGCCTTTAGTCGTGTCAGTCTGTAAATATTTGTCGACATCCAAAGTGATGTGTTTTCAATAAAACATTTGAGACATAAACAGGGAAACCAACAGCATTTTGATCTGTCAACATCACTTGGAGGATTTCATAAAGTGATTTGAGTCGGCGTACACCCAAACTTGATGCTCTGAGGACCGCAGGGACAGTGCTTTTAAGTATCACATCAAAGCAGACAAGTGATCCCGCTCTCTGTGTTTCTCTCCCTTTCTGTATCTCTGTCACTCTCATTTACTCTGCTGTTATTTATCTCTCTGCCACTCTCTAATGAAGGAGTACTAAACTCTGGATTTACCAAACAAAGACCCTTATCTGCTTTTATCTATTCAGTATTCACCACAAAATATGGCTACAACACTAGACTGCAAACTTAGGACTAAAAATCAGTTGGACAAGAAAAATACAACAAGTGTTATGCATTTGCTTACAAGGACATGACGATGGAAGAGGCAGTTTGTTCACCTGAATTTTGAGTTCATTTCTCAAAGATTCTTGTAAAGAAAAGCAGGCTTCACTCTCGCCAACTATTGCACATTTAGACGGATGAAATGTCATGTGTTGTTAGCGGATCAACTGTTCCTTGCTAATGCAAGCTTAATAATGTTTTATCAGTGAGTTGGTTGAAAACAACTGAAAGACCTTTTAAAGAGTCTTAAATATTCACAGAATTACTATAAATAATGTATCAGACCCATTGTGAACCAATTAAATGACATGACCACAGTCTGCAATCTACAGGCTGCAATTTACCTGCAGGGTGAGATTTCTCTTCAGTTTCCCAAACATCAGGGTTCTGTTCTGTCCTTGCTATAGTTTTCAAATGACAGGCTGTGGCGACTGATTATGTATCATGTCCAGAAGTGCACTATGAACATCATATCGGTAGTATCCTAATGGTAAGAAGAAGACATAAAAGTTCCTCCTTTAAGTGCTTTCTTGGAGTTTTAGGCCTCTGCTGAGCACATGGTGAAGTGAGAGAATGCCAAATAGTAAAAATACTTTGACTTTAAAGTTCTACTCCTTACTATGGAAACACAAAGGTGTAGCCAGTAGGAGGGAAAAAGCCAAAAGCTCCTACCAGTTTCTCGGGAGATCTGGACAAACGCCTCCACGCCGCTCTCTCCGTAGTTTCCCTCAGAGGCCAGCGTGGACACGTAGTTCCACTCCATCGCCGTGACGATGTCCATCATGGCCTGGGCCTGGTAGGAGTCCGGAGGTACGACGCGGGAGAAGAAGTCATAGCGAGTGTTGTCGCTCAGCTCCGGGGCCGTCGAGGCATAGCTGATCTGGGGGATCTGGACAAGAAAAGAAAAAGGGAAGAGAGGTACAGTTTGAGGGTCTTTGAGGAATGTCTGAAAGGGGAGGAGATTAATTGAATAGTTTGCATGATTGCGGAGTTAAGAAATGCTTTTCTCAATCACTTTCTTTGCCCACTAGCAGAGAAGAATCTTAAAATATAAAAGAGATGAGTCAGATAGTCATTATTCTGATCTTTTTTTTGCACCTTCATATATTTTCTTACTTGGAGGTACACGTAGGAACGAGCTATAAACACTTCCCACACCCCGTGAGATCGCTGTGATGAATAATTCTCTGGGATGTGAGGAGAAGTTGTCATCACAAATGTTTAAATTCTGCTGCAGCACTCGACATTTATAGGCACTTTAGGCGGTGTAAAGCGAAGCAAACAACTGATAGAGGGAACAGGTGTGGAGGAGTGAGGGGAAAGCGATAAATAATTGGGAATCAGAATGTGGAATGAGACAGAAAGGTAACAAGAAAGCCGGTGTCACGGCCCGACGGATTAAGGGTGGAAGAGAAGAAGATCTGACGCAAGAAGATAGACACAAAACGGAAAGCGGGGATCTGACAGGAGGACAGACGGACAAAAAGGACAACAGGGAGATAGGAGGATGAAGGGACAGAGGTTGACAGAATGACAGGACACACACACACACACACACACACACACACACACACACACACACACACATGCAGGTATTTCCAGTGATAGGTAGCGTAGCAGGTGGCGGGTGTTAGATGGCTGACGGGCAGATTGATTTTCCCTTGACGAGGGGGACAGCAAGGGAAGACCCTGTACGTGCCACACAAACAAACACACAGATGTTTTAACAGATTGGCATTCATGGCAAGTACGACATAACTGCCAATCCAAATATAAATATAAGGTGTGTCAGCTGTCTGTCTCTCAAGGCAACTACACAAACACACACAGATGTACAATAGCTGAACACAGCAAAGCCCGTGTCACTGCAGGGAGCGATTTAAGACGTACAGAGTGTGTGGTTGTGTGTGTGACTGGAATGCTTCTAAAGCCCATCACTCACTGTCTTTATTCCCTTTGAGCCTTATCTGAAGCCACTGCCACACACAGCATCTACACTTGCCATTTGTAAAAGGTCAGGGATTTATCCTGAGTTCTCTTTGGTGGTGGTGAAGCAGGCAGGTGTGAAATATGTATTCGACTATTTTTTTTATTTTTTTTTTTGTGCCACTGAAGTAAAAAACTAAAAGAAAATCATATTAATTCCCTTCCTTAGAGGCAAAGAGGTCTGAAAGAGAAAACTACGAATGTGTTACCTCCTCGATAGCAATCAATGCACAGCCTAAGTAGATGGCATGTCATTTGTTTTGTTGTTGAATATCTAAGTTTGGCTCAAAACTAATTTGTTATTTTGTTTTTTTTTTCCTACTTGGTTTAATAGCCTCTCTTTTCTAGCAGCGAACTGGGTGGGAGTTCACAATTGGGACTCTTGTTATTGGTCTCCTCTGCGAGCGAAATACAATTGGAAACTTTCATAAACTTTATGTTGAGTATGTATAATTCATAGAGGATTGGCGATAAACAAATAAATAGAAGGGAAAGGGAAACGAGTGTTATAACAACTAGCGTGCATCTGCTTATAGTGTTTGCGGGTCTGCACTATATGTGCCTATGGAAGAGTGCAATAATGTGTGTTTGTGCATGTGTGCTTGTTTGAATGGGCATTTTAATAAAGGCATATCCATTTCAAAGAGAATCGCTGTTTGGCTGCAGGAATATGAGATATTTGTCTGTTTACAGAACACAGAGAAAGTAACCCTGCGACCTGGGCAAAGCTAGTTCCTTTGATCTTTTGTTATTTCACTCTGCCGCTAAGAAACTGAGACATATGCAGACACGAGCGCACACTGGAGCACGCCGCACAGTCATCCTCTTGTCATATTCCTGGAGTCATTACTGAGAAAGAGGAGGTAAAGCAGAGAGATACAAAAGCAGTATGAGGGGAACACAGAGAGATACAGAGAGAATACTGTCTGCTGAAGGCGCGGACCCAATACAGTCCCCAACAACCACACCAGTACTTTCTAAAGATGGAGATTTCTGCAGAAACGTCGATTGTCACACAGCCGTGGATCCCCCAGACACATGTAACGGCACAGAAACCTGCTTCCACTGAGCACGCCTGATGGCATGTGACATTTTCCTGTCCTAAATCATTTATGTGCTGCGAGTCTGACTGACTGCAGCCTCTTTCAAAGCAAGGAGAGTTTTGGAGTCGTGCTTAAAGGCGGGAAATGAGCGGCTTGATTCCCTTATATTACTGGGGAAGAAGATTATGCCCTCCAATCCCCCTAATTCCATTTGCTCTAATGAATGTGTGTGTCTGCGTGTGAGGGGAGAAATGGAAAGCATGTGTGATGAAAAGGGAAACGAGTCAGTGTTATATGTTGAATATGCACTTTCTGTCAACACAAGAAAAATGCTGTCACACACACCTTTCATCAATATGGTACTGTAATGTATTCGTCAGTCAATAGGCACATTTAACTAACAATTCTAATTGAATACGCACTCTGATGTAGCTTTGTTAAGCCTTTGTAGGCACTATGCTTCTCGGAATTACTCAAGTCCGTCCATGATTTGTATATCATATATATGTATATGAATTGTAGCCCCTTTCATCTGGAGCCATCATTCTTCATGTTTTCTTTCCACCCACACCCTAACCTGCACATAGCATCACAATGTCAAGGACAGCTTCATCAAGCCTCTTTCGCCACTTGCAGTCTTTCAATTTGTTGTTGTCTTTCTCTCGTAAGAGTAAAGCGTAATATTGGTCGGTCAATCCACTTTAATTACCCATAGAGCCTACACTTAACTCCAATTAGAAATTAATTTACTGTTTATATTTATAATTCCTACAAAGAGAAAGCATTTCATTCCTGGTGGGAAAACAAAGGTGAGATACTTTATCTGTATATAATTTCACAAGCAAGATAAAAAAAAAATGGATCAACTGTACGTTTAGTTTTGAAATATTCACAGTATGCACTCACAGTGTAATTTAGCATTCAAATAACAATGAATCTATGATCCTCTTTTCTTAAGGCTCTCTAAAATAACACTTAATTTAATAGTGGTAGAAAATTAAATGTCTAAAGCAAAGTACCAAAGTCAGGAGGCCTCTGAACCAGGATTTAGTCTTTACACCTCCCCACTAAACCTGATTAAAAACCTTAACTCCTTCCCTCGAACAAACACAAAATACTCTTGTACTGTGGCAACCATTACGTCGCAATTTGTTCAAGCTTGCAAAGATATTAAATCTTTGTTCTTTTGCTTAGAGGAGAGAATTGATCACAATAAAAAGCATAGAATAAACTGCCCTGGGCCATAAAATAACAGAGATTAATTCTTAATTGAACTGTGTTCCCCTCCAAGCAAAGACCATTGAAAAAGCGCAGACTAATGTTTTCCCTTTATGACAACAATCGATGCACAGCAACACGTTGATGATGTCTCATTTTTCAGAGTAGAGGATAAAAACGTTTTTTGGACTGAAACTGAGTGAACTCTGGGAGCTGAACCCAATATAAACCAACATCCTAGAGCTCCAGCCTCCTAGACAGCCAGCTCTGCTGCCTCTATTCCTTAATGAGTTCAACCCTCTCTATAGATCAGGCCAAATCCCACAGAGGAGCCGAACTGATAACTAACAGTCAGATTTAACAGACTAATGAGCCGGGACAGTGGCTTTTGATGTTTTTATCTTTCCTGTCAAGGGCCGAAATAGAGGGAATTCACTATAAAGATGTACAATACATGTGATGTAAAGGGATACAGGATGTATCTGGTGTACTTGGATGTATTTGGTGCTCCAAAGTAAGGAATATAATATAGTCAGCAACCTGCGCTCTACTTTCAAAAAAAAAAATGGATCAACTGTACGAAGAAGAAATCCTTAAACAGTTAAAAGTGACCTTTTGAAATGCCACTTGGAAAGTCTGGGGGAAATCACAGATATCTGAGGCAGAATAAAGCCTTTGAGACATAACATTCTCTTTAAAAGATACTAAAGCGCTCCTCCTGTCAGGCTGAGACCTCAAAAAATGCCTTCATGACTTCAACTGGCCTCTGAACTATAGCTACACCAACATGAAACTCATCTGCCCTATGTGAAAACCTGCACGTCATTATTTGAACATAACCACGTGCAGTTGTGTAAAACAAACGAGTAATTCATCTGTATGTATTTATATAAAATACTGTGTGAACAGCATGAGTATGTGCAGAAATCTGGACTGTGTGTTTGTGTGTCTGCCGGTAATGGAGCTGTCGCTGGCCTCGAGTCTGAGCATTAGGTTGATAGATGGCAGTGGTCTGAAGCTAATTAACCCCACTGCGTCACACACAAACACTGTTACACACACCGGCAATCACAAACACCAACCTATGTCAGAGAGACAACTGAATGTGCTCGACACACAGAGTTACTGTTCCAGGTTAACCAGGATTGAAATTTATGGTGGCTTGTAGGGGTCATTTTTGGTGATTAAATTAATTAGCGAATGTTAACAAGCTGGCATGTAAAGTGTTCTGAATCCACCATTGCTTATCTAGACTTTTGTGTAGAGGCAAATAAAGGTAATACCGTAAGACATTTAGATTTTGTGTAGCTTTGTGGTCACAAAACTTGGACCAGATTGTGTTTTTCTTGAATGATGTTTGACTGAGATATGGGAAAGAAGGAAGGCACATACACTTTAAATTGATTTGGCCGTGCAGCGCCCCAGTTTTGAGTCTGCCTAGAGAGTTGTTTACTTGCTCAGAATTTGACTCAGCCCTCTAACAGCCAGCCGCAGTCTGTGTCTAATGAGGAGAGGACTGGCTCAGTGGGACCTCACCAAGTTAATTTAGCAGGATGAAGACTGCCGGGGCTTAGAGCTGGGTGTCTCTCGCTCTGTCTCACCTCGTCCTCTCTATCTGAGTCCATCTGTCTTTTTTTTTTTT